GGGAGCGGCGGCGCGCACCCACGGCCTCGGCCTGGAGCCTTGCGCGGGTGCCTGACCTGCGCGCGCTTCGGGCCGCGTCCGGGCGCTGGGAGCTGTGTGACCTTGGCCAAACCGTTTAAGTTTTCCTGGCCTCATTTTCCTCGGCTGTGAAATGGGGTGGGACCTGCAGCCTCTGGAGCGTGGGGGATCAGATCAGATAACCCTTTGCAGGCTCCCGGCCACCGCCATGAATCAGTCACGCGCGCCTCTGATCATGGGAGATTGGTTAGACCCGTACTGGAGTGGTTGTGTTTTAGAGTCACTTGACTATTTATCGGGCCCCTACTAGTCGATCTTGTTGAAATTCTTATTCATTTATCTGTTCAATTATATTGTTGGTCTCCTGTCCACAGACATAAACACCTCTTGGAATCTGAGCTCCCCTCCTAAGCAGAGATCCTTTGCACTGCCATTATTTCCTGTGCCTAGAACAGTGCCAGGCCCGTAGTAGGAACTTTAAAAATCCTCGTCGTGTAAATATGGCACCACCATCTACACAGTCCTCTAAGCCAAAAAGCTGGAACTTGCAGTCGGACGGTCTCTTTCAACCATGAGCAGTCGACATGTGGTTGCATTTGGTCACTTAGAAATGCCTCAAAAATTTATTTTTCCTCTCTTCTGCCAGTAACAAACAGTCTCCATCTCACTACATACTGAAACAGTCTTCCCTGCCACCAATCTTCCCTCACTGTTTATCCTCCCCAACAAGTGTGAGAGTGATCTTTCTAAAAAGAAACCTGGTTATATCACTCCCTTGTTTAAAACACTCCTTGAGGGTGGCTGGGTGGCTCAGTCGGTTAAGCATCCTACTCTTGATTTCATCTGGGGTCATAATCTGAGGGTGGTGGGATTCAGCCGGCATCCAGCTCCTCGATCCGGGGGAGTCTACTGGAGATTCTCTCCCTCTGCCTCTGCCCCTCCCACTGCTCGTGCACCCTCTCCCTCTCTCAATAAATAAATAAACAAACAAACATAAGGACATCAAGTGTGGTTCAAACATCCCCTTGATCCCAGGGTCCTGGGATCGAGTCCCGCATCG